AAATCCATCATGTTTCCAACTTTAAAATGCATTTAATACCGAAGATTAAAGCTGCACTGTGTAGCTTTTCTGGTGAGGGAGGGTCTATCACCTGCTCGTTGCCATGGAGATGTTAATGTTTTATTGTTTTATTCAATTACAGATTATTTATTTCTTAAAAAAAAAAATACCTCGGAAAAAACTTTCTTACTTACTACGCATCTGACTAAATTGGACTCTTGCTTGTTGCCATGGAGATAAGTAAATTTAACGCCAAATTGTGTACAACAAAACGAGACGAGCAGCAGAAAAGTTACACGGTGCACCTTTAAGATACGTTTCATTCATTCATGCTGAACAGTTTCGCAATAACGATACATTGATTGTGTTGATTTTGACTTTTTCACCTTCAAAAAACACAATATTCTGTTTTAAATTGTCAATCGCTATGGCAACGGCGCTTGTTTTTTTCATCCTTCTTTAACCCACGGACAGAACAGAACAGCACAGCGAGTACCTCATTTATTCCGTGTAAAAATTCCACACATTCACACGTTGAAAGCATCTCTCTTTGGTAAACACAGCGGGACATAGCAACAATTTGTCCGTTCGTAAATAAATCTGAAAGGAAAATCTTAGGCCTTATTACGGAACATTGCCAAATATAAGTGGAGAAGCGATAGTAGATTCACAATACAGAGAATTACCACACAAATCTCTACTTCATTTGTGTAAACTTGTTGGAATATAGTAACAGTTTCTTCATTCATAAATTTTAAACGAAGCTCAACTATTGTCAGAAAAGATTAATATTAAATTTACAATAGGCACAACTGTCTGAAACTTCCACGATTTGACCTTGAAGCAAACTACACATTTATTCCACTAACTGCTCCAACCACACAGCAAAAACTGGAGGGTTAAAATTTCAGAGCTGTTTTTAACTCAAAAAGTGTTATTTTAACTATTTGAAAGTTAAATGGGGGTTTGAGTTGGGGTTATTTGCCAGAGTTGATGTGGTTGAAGTTTTCCTAGTGTTAATTTAACTTCCCTTAGTGTTAATTCAACTTAGTGTTAATTCAACTTCTTTTAGTGTTAATTCTACTTCACCTAAGTGTTAATTCAACTTCCCTTAGTTTTAATTCAACTTTTTCTAGTGTTAATTCAACTTCCTCTAGTGTTAATTCAACTTCTTAGTTTTAATTCAACTTAGTGTTAATTCAACTTTCTCTAGTGTTAATTCAACTTCCCTCTAGTGTTAATTCAACTTCCTCTAGTGTTAATTCAACTTCTCTTAGTGTTATTTCAACTTTCTCTAGTGTTAATTCAACTTTCTCTAGTGTTAATTCAACTTCTCTTAGTGTTAATTCAATTTTCCTCTAGTGTTAATTCAACTTCCTCTTAGTGTTAATTCAATTTCCCTTAGTTTTAATTCAACTTCTTCTAGTGTTATTTCAAGTTTTTCTAGTGTTAATTCAACTTCCTCTAGTGTTAATTCAACTTCCCTTAGTGTTAATTCAACTTCCTCTAGTGTTAATTCAATTCCTCTAATGTTAATTCAACTTCTCTTAGTTTTAATTCAGTTTCTCTTAGTGTTAATTCCACTTCTTCTAGTGTTATTTCAACTTCCTCTAGTGTTAATTCAATTCCTCTAGTGTTAATTCAACTTTCTAAACTTCACTAGTGTCCCCTAGTGTTAATTCAATTCCTCTAGTGTTAATTCAACTTCCCGTAGTGTTAATTTGTCACCTCCCATTTACACTTCAAACTCCCACGAGAGAAGACCAGTTTGAACCAGTTTTGTTCATAATTTCATCTTAAATTAACTAAAATAAAGTATAAAAATTAAACACCTCTGTGTGTTGTTCGGCTAAATCAGGATAACCCAACAAAGTGTTATCCGTTTACTCTCAAAACATTCATAGAACTCTTGATTTCGGGGTTTTACAGGAACTTTAGTCCAGTGTTACTTAATAAAAATTTTCCAAAATGTTAAATTAACTCTAGAACAGATTGGACTCATATAAACCCTGAGAAAGAGTCGATTTTAACACTCTACTTGTTGCTGTGTAGCGTCTTTTTCTCTCTACTTCTCTGGTATAAACTCGGTGGAATACAGCAACAATTTCTCCATTCATAAATGTTAAACTCGGCTCAACTCGTATCAGAAGAGAAAGTGACTACACGGCAAAAATCTTGGCCAAAATTTAACACGTAAACACTTAAATCTATCAGAAAATGTTGTGAAATTAAATGTCCATTCAGCAAGATCATTTTACTTGACAAATTATCTTAAAATAAACAACCTCGAGACTAGAATTAAGCATCTCAGAGCTAGTTAAGTAGATATTCAAGCTGAAAACAAGATGAATAACCTGATTTAAGTTTTTAAAATCTTGGCCAGATCAGAGAAATTTGAAACATGCCACAAACCAAATAACCATAGTGAGCTTCCCGATGCTCAAACTAGCGCCTCTTTACTCCAACAGTGTAAACTTAGAGGAACAGAGCAACAATCTTTCCATTCATAAATCTTCAACTCAGCTCAAGCCTTATCAGAAAAGACCACAATGAAAACACGCCAAACTATAAGACAGAAATCAAGACCAAATAACGATAAACAAGCTTCTGAAACAGTCACAGTTTGAGCTTAAAGGGCCAATTTTACGCTATTTTCTGATCTACTGTATGTTATAACGTTGTTTCTTTATCACAAACATACGGAAGCCGAGAGGGGTCACAACAAACGCAAACGCCGCAACAAATACAAATGCGACAACATGACAAAAAGCCACAACAAACCCAAAAAAAGCCACTACACACCAAAAAAAAGTCACAACAGAAATGACCGCGAGACTCTATTTTAATGCAAACGCCGCAGCAAATACAAACGCCACAACACAAAAGCAAATGCCGCGACACATTAAAAAGCCACAACACATTAAAAAGCCACAACGGAAATGACCGCGGGACTCTATTTTCCGACGGACCGATCAAGCGGCAAGTGAAGAAGAAGAACTACAACGTGAAAAGTAAAGGAACGGAGAAGTTGGAAACGTAAGTAAAAAGTAATTTATTGTTTTATCATTATTCCTTTCACGCTGTAGTTCTTCTTCTTCACTTGCCGCTTGATCGGTCCGTCGGAAAATAGAGTCCCGCGGTCATTTCCGTTGTGGCTTTTTAATGTGTTGTGGCTTTTTGTTGTGTTGTCACATCTGTATTTGTTGCGGCGTTTGTTGTGATCCCTCTGAGCTTCTGTAACAAACAGACCTGGAGTTGTGTTTTGTTTCATTCGCGCATGTTTTAATGCACAAACTCTGCATATTTACGCTGAGTTCTTGTCTCAAACTGAAAAACTCTGATGCACCTTGTGATGTCAACTGCTCCACCGTGTTTTTCTAAACCAATCCAACTTTATTTGTGTAGCACATTTTACCAACACAAAGTCTCCAAAGTGCTGCACAGAGTAGGCATTTTTAGTTTTTAAACTTTTTACACCTTCACTAGAATCACTTGGAAGATTTCAGTCCTAGAATTGTCAATTTATACCAAACTAAAGGTAAAATGGAAGCCAATTCATCAGTCGGTTTCAGTTCGTGGAAACTGTCTGACCCCACTCAGTGCCTCCGCTCAATTTCATTTCTCTCCAGCGACTAGGTCAGGAATCGGAATACACCAGACAGTTCGCAAAAATCCCAGAAGTGTGAGTTCAGGCACCAGCCAATCAGCGAAAAGTCAGACATTCTGTGTTGGCAACGATTCCCGAGGATTTAAAGCCGGAACAAAGACAATGTTTGGTGAATTTTATCAAGGGAAAAGGATTTGGGAAAAGCTTAATATACCAGTCATCCCCATTAGCAGAGCATTACATACGTCACGACCAAATAGCATCGATTAATTAAATTTAAAAAAATACCCGCCTACTGTCGAGCGAACAAATCCTAATGCTGCGAGGTCATAGCCTTATTCATCAGCCGGTTTCACTTCGTGGAAACAGTCTGACCTCGCAGCATTAGGATTCGTTCGCTCGACGGTATAACTGGTATATTAAGTTTTTCTCAATTCCCGTAGGAAGAAGGACAATAACGTCTTTCCGCTTGATAAAATTCACCAAACATTCTCTTTGTTCTCGCTTTCAATCCTTGATCTCGGGAATCGTTGCCAACACAGAATATATCAATCTTCGCTGATTGGCTGGTGCCCGAATTCGCACTTCCGCAGTTTTGCGAACCGTCTAATGCAGGGGTGTCCAAACTTTTTTCATCAAGGGCCACATATCTAAACACAGACGAAGCAGAGGGCAGATCGAGGGTCGTAGACTAGTGCTCAATACAGCGAATAACTGAAATATGAGCATGTTTAACACGTTAGAATGAACCATCAGACTTTACCACACATTAAATATAAAATATTCACTTTATTAAGGTAGATTTTCAAAAACTTGGAGTGAAAAGTAAATATTTAATTGATGTAAGGTAATTTGGGCCAATTCACCTGGAAGCTTGAGGGCCAAGAAAAATGTCTGTGGGCCGCATTTGGTCTACGGGCCATAGTTTGGACATCCCTGGTCTAGTGTATTCTGATTCCTGACCGAGTCGCAGGAGAGAAATTAAATTGAGCGGAGGCACTAGATGGCACCAGATGTTAACTTGAAAACTACTTTTTCATGAGATCACAAGGTGGAGCAGAGCATTTGGAAGTTTGGAGATGCACAAACTAATAATAAAGAGTTTCTCAAACACTTGTGAATGAAACAAAACACAACTTTGCGTCTGTTTTTGAGTAGAAAACAACATTTTACTCCGACTTAAATCTCACAAGAGTCAATTTTGCGTAATATCAAACCTTTAAGACAAGCTTCCCATTTATCCCGACGTTAAAGCTGCACACGTCCCTCTCTCCGACGGTGTGAACTTAGTGGAACATAGCAACAATTTGCCCATTCATAAATCCCAAATGAAACTCAGCAGCTTAAGCGACCGCATGCAAATCCAGCCAGAATGTAAACAGAGAGCACATACCACCATCACGCTGCAACAGGGGCTGTCCAGAGCGCAGCAGCAGCAGCAGCAAGAGGAGGAACACAACCAGAAACCAGGGAGAGAATCTGCACAGAAGCACAACTCTGAGGTGAGAATTTCGACGTCGGGAGTGAAAAAGGTGCAAAAATAAGGTGCGTTTCATTTACCGCGGCGTCATGTTGGAGCGGTTTAGATCCACAGAGTCCGGATCATGAGGAGGAGGAGGTAGAGTCCACTCTGCTGTTCCCGAAAAGTGCAAACTCAAACTGGGACTGAAGCTCCTGTTAACTCTTCTCTCTCTCTCTCTCTCTCGAACTACACACCCCCTCTTTTTTCTGCTCCACTCTCTCTCTCTCTCTCTCTTTTTCAGACACTCCTCTTTTCTCTAAGCCCCCCTCCTCCTCCTCCTCCTTCTGTGCTCTCTCTTTCTCTTTCCCCGCCTCTTTTTCGCTCTAATCTCTCTCCCTCCCCGCTGCTCTCTCTGACCTACTGCTATCTCTCTTCTCTCCTCTCTCTCTCTCTCCTATCCCTCCTTTCTTCTCTTTTATGATGCTGATTTGTGTTTGTATTGTCGTTTTTACGTCTTTCCGATTGTGTAAAGCGCTTTTGAGTTACTCTGTGTACGACTTGTGCTAAACTTGCCTTGATCATCTCTCCCCCTTATCTCTCCTCTCTCTATCCATTCTTTCTATCCTTCTTTTGGTCTCTGTCTTAGCCTTGTATCTGTCTCTTTTCTCTTGTTCTCTATCTCTCTCTCAGTCCTCTGTTTCTCTTTCTTTCTCTTTCTTGCCCTCCCTGTCCATCCCTCTGTGTCCTTTCCTTTCTCTCCTTTCTCTCCCCGTCTCTATCTCTCTTTCCTCCTCCTCTATATCCCTTTTTCTCCTCTCTCTCCCCCTCTATCTCTCCTCTCCTCTCTCCCCTCTCCTCTCTCTCTCTCTCTCTCTATCCTCGTCCTCTCTCTCTCTTCTCTCTACTCCTCTCTCCTCCTCTCAATCCTCTATATCCCTCTCTCTCCACTCTCTCCTCCTTTCTTTCTCCTCTCTCTCCCTCTCTATATCCCTCTTTCAACTCTCTCTCTTCTTTCCTTCTCTTTCTCCTCTTTCTCCCTCCATCCCTCCCTCTTAACTCCTCTCTCTCTCCTCTCTCCTCTCTCTCCTCTCCTCTCTCTTCCCCTTCTCTCTCCTCCTCTCTGTCTCCTCTCTATATCTCTCCCTCTCTCTCTTCTCTCTCTCCCTCTCTCACTTCTTCTTCTCTCTCCCTCTCTCTCCCTTCTCTCTCTCCTCCTCTCTTTCGCCTCTCTATACTCCTCTCTCTCCCTCTCTATATCCCTCTTTCAACTCTCTCTCTCTTTTTCTTTCTCTTCTCTTTCTCCTCTTTCTCCTCTCTATCCCCCTCTATATCCCTCTCCCTTTTTCTCTCTCTCCCTTCTCTCTCTCCTCCTCTCTGTCTCCTCTCTATCCTCTCTCGCTTCTTCTCTCTCTCTCCCCTCTCACTTCTTCTCTCTCTCCTTCTCTCTCTCCTCTTCTCTTTCTCCTCTCTATCCTCCTCTCTCTCCCTTCTCGCTTCTTCTCTCTTCTCCTCTCTTACTCCTCTCTCTCCCTTCTCACTTCTTCTCCTTCTTTCTCCTCTCTATCCTCCTCTCATTCTCCACTCTCCCCCTCTATATCCCTCTTTCTCCTCCTCTCTTCTTCTCTCTCTCATGCTCCTCTCTCTCCTCTCCTCCCTATATCCCTCTCTCTTCTCTTCTCTCCTCTTCCCCTCTCGAGTATTCTTCCTCTTTCTCCTCTTCCACCTCCTTCCTCCCTTCTCTAGTTCTCTCTATCGCTCTCTCTCAGCACTGTATTTCTCTCCCCTCATCTCCTCCCTCTCTCCTCTCTTCTCTCTCTCCTCTCTCTCTCTCTCTTGTGTGTATACGTTTATAACAAAGCGTCTTCAGTGCAGAGTGAGGCCCATGCCCCGCTGTAACTGGACCCCTCTCCTCTCCTCTCTTTTCTCTCTCTTCTCTCTCCTTCCTCTGGTCCGGCCTCTTTTCCTCAGAGCAGAATCATTTACCTCCTGCTGTACTGTTACTTATTGATTAGGCCCATAGGTTTAAGCCAGATCCCGTCCTTTCCAGACTCAAGTATTTTCAACTCTGACCATTATTTTTATCCTCTAACTTTTATAAACAAGACCTGCAAGAAAACCAGAAAAAAACAGAATAATTTAAACTATTAAAGGCAAAAGCGAGACTCAGCAGACGGAAGAAGAAGAGAGAGAGGAGTGACAGTGAGTGCGTATACATGCAATCAATAACGTTATAGCATATCGGTTATGTCAGTATTCGGTTACTGCGTTTCCATGCGCACTGAGAAACCGGGACACTCTTATCCGCGTTACATGATCAAATGAGTATCCGGTTTCTTGACATAATCTTACAAATGCGCAGGCGCAAATTAACTTAATCAATTCTAAACCAGGAAAAATACAAACCGTGAGCTCCTTTAGCATAAAAGCTAGGACTACGAGACTCCCACATCCACTGTGCAGATTCTTCATTAAAATCTTCTGCATAAAAAACTCAACTTTACAACATATAAACCATAAACACTATAGACCACATCAGCCGTTTGATCAATAATCAGCTCTGATCACATTTGTTTACGTTTTACAGAACGAAACTTAAGACCGCTAGGCATTAGCATAAACTGTTAGCGGTGATAAAAACAACTCGCTGCTTGCGCGTACATTCAAATGTGTCTAAAACAGACCTTATTATGATGTTATTACAGTGACAACAAACCAAACATTAATTTGTTTTAGTAAAGACTTCTATATTTTACTCAAATCATACAAAGGTCCGACGTGATTTAGCGCAATCTTATTTTAAAGTCATTTACGCGTCACCAAATTATGACAATATAGGACCAGAAACAAAAGCGATATGGGACGCTTGAAAAGATGACTTTGTATAATCATGGCAATGACCTGTCCAATTCATGAAGTAAGTGTGTAATTCAAGCAACATTCGATTTTTGTTTCTTATTTAAGTGCAAAAACTTTTGTAAGAAGTATTTTCAAGTATAAATACAAAAAAAACTTATTTCACTGGAAGATCAAACTTACTCAAATCATGATAAAACTTTCTGTATTCACGTCGTCTTAACTTGTCTAGATTTGGTTTTATTGCAGTGTACACAGTTCACCTTTAAACAGAAGCAGCATCATGATTATATAAAGTATTACTGAGCAGTGGTTTTCAACAAAATAAAACAAAATCTATCTTTGAATAAAAGTAAACAATAAACACTTACAACAGTGATATACAGTATGTCTTCAAAGTTATGCACATTTGTATTATTTTGCCTTATTTGACAGCAGTTTTTTACTATTTTGCTGCTTATTTTGAGTTTATTTTTAATATTTTCTGGATACTAAGACATTTTTCAGAGCATGCCTGAGTTTCTGTGTCCAAGTCATTTCCCTTGTGGATCAAAAACGTCTAAGTCTAAGTCAAATTTTCTATGACGCAACAATAACCGAAATATCGTGATATCGTATCGTCAAAGTTCAACATATCACAATATATCGAATTATAAGTAAATTAAGAGTTATGGTGCAGCAATAGCTGAAGAACTGAAAGAACTACATAGACCATGATGCTTTGCTCCATTTCCGTGCAGACTGCAAGAAGAAATAACAGTTTTAAACACTTTTAAGTCTTAGTTCTTTGGATTAAGTCTTGAGGAAAACGTAGTATATTCACAGTTTTGTTCGCCTCAACAAAATATCGCAGTAAATATTGTATCGTGAGACTTGGATATCGTTACACCCCTCATTAAATAAAATAAATCAATTTTAAAAAAGAAAAGAATTGAGCTCACAACAGAATAAACACAACTCCGATATACAGAAATCTTCAGAATTTGAGTTATTTTCATTAGACCCTGTCCCTCCTGTCTCTTCTGTCTCTGTCTCCTGTCTGAGGCCGTAAAGACTCCAGACACACACACACACACACACACACACACACACACGCACATGAATGACAACAACAAACCCAAAGCAGGTGTCAGACTGGTGTAAAATGTAAGGACAGAATTTTAACTATTTTTGGTGCCAGTCCCAAGAACAGATAATATATAAATGTTGTTAGAATCAGAAAAAGTTGCAGTTGTGTTGCCAAAGTCTGTAAACACAACGCAAAAACTACATTCTAGTCAAGTTAAGATGACTGGAATTAAGAAAGTTTTACTAAAATTTGAGTACTTAAAATGTAAAAATGCATCTTGCTGCATTTAAAATAACAAAAACAACAACTTTTTGCACTTAAAATGAGAAACAAAATCGATTGTTGCTTAAATTAAGAAAAACACACTTGTTCCATTGGTTGATAATTTTACTTGTCAAGTTGAATCGACGCAAATAAAGTCAAATGTTCTTAATTTAAGTCATTTTAACTCCCTAGATATTGTTTTTTGCTGTGCTTTAGTGATATGGTGCATTAAAATCAAACACTATAACAGGGAGCAATTTGGAGTTTCTATTTTCTAATAACTTTTGTAAATAATTGATATATATTAATTTAAAAAATCTTTTAAAAAATGTCAGATTGTGAGAAATGGGGAAGCCACGACGTCACCAGCTTTAAGTAATCACATTTTATGAGAGATAAAGTCAAGTTAAAGCCACAAAATATAACATTTTAGCCGCAAAAGAGACTAAAGTACATGCATGTTTGGTTTTGTTTTCCATTTTGGTTTCATATTTATTGCACTGTGAGCAGACTTGCATCTTCACAAACCTGACTCTTATTTGTGTTGGGGAAAAAAAACAATATCTAGGTAAGTTAAAATGACTTAAATTTTGCTTTTAAGTAGATCCAGTTTGACAAGTAAAATTATCTGCCACTGGAATGGTAAAGTGTGTTTTTCTTAACTCAAGCAACATTAGATTCTGTTTCTTATTTTAAGGGCAAAAAGTCGTTGTTTTTCTTATTTTAAGTGCAGCAAGATGTATTTTCATATTTTAAGTACAAAAAGTATTCCACTTATTCCACTGGCAGATAAAATTAATCAAATCATGATAAAACTTTTTTTTTTTTTTTTT